GCTGCTAAAATAAGAAAAGAAAGAGGATAAGAACATTTACAAGATTCATTGGTGTGCAAAACCTTCTTCAAATTTAGAACGCAAATGTAGAATCTTTCGCGAACAATTTTCTATTAGTTTGTTTGGTATTTATTGTTCTTTTTTAGAATTTGGTATGCTTTCTTAATTTGTATTCAAATCACTATGTATACTATCAATATTTGTATTTATTAAAAATTTCATGTTGCATGGTTTATGAATCTTGTATTTATCCCTAATTTGTATTCATCCAAATGTATGTCAACTAGTTATGTATTTTATTTATAAGAAGAACAATTTTCTATTAGTTTATTTGTATTCGAATACAAATACAAATAATAGACATATTGGAATGAATACGACTTTGAAAAGGAAACAAGATCTTGAAAAGAAAAATAAATACACAGTGAAAAATATATACGAATACAAATGTATTTCTTAAATGACTATATTTTATTTGACATACATATTGGAATGAATACAAACTAATAAAGGTATGTCAACTGAATTTGACATTTTTTTTCTAATTTGTATTTATTCTAAAGGTATGTCAACTAGTTATGTATTTTATTTAAGAATGAGTACACCAAATATTCAATTATTTCTTTCAATTTTATATTTCATTCACTTTTTCATCATACTAATTTTTTGTATTTTATATATTATTATATAAAATTCTAAATAAAAACTAGAAGAAATAGAAATACAAATTTTTCAGATTTCTTTTCTAATTTTATTTTTGTTTAAATATTAAAAAAATGTTGTTTGTATTTTTCAATTTCCGTTATGATTTACTCTCCAATGGCTGAATCCAAGAGGCTTACTAGAGGTATTCATCTTAATCAACCAATTTCTGGTGATTTTTCATCCTTTAATTTATTTATTACTTAACAAATAGTGTATAATGTATGATCCGTATACATAACAAACTAAAATGACATTTTTACTAAATATTGAAGTTGTTGCTAATGAATCCTCTTAAATGCTAAAATATTGACATTTTGAAAAAATTTCCATCTTTTTAATAGCAAATTACTTGACTCAATGGATCGAGGTAAACCCCTCGTTAACTTCCAATTATATGACATGTCTAACACTACAACATTAAAAAAACATATTTGATACTCTTTATATTTTGGGCTCTCACTCTCTTTTAAAGATGTTTTACCATGATTTGGGCTAGAAGGACAAGCAGGCCCAATATATTGGATAACTTTCCAACCTTATAAATTCCATGATATCTTTGAAGTTCCAGTATGTTGGTTGATTAAATTGTTGGCAAACATGAGTACATGCTCATGAATCCAACAATATATGTATAATGTGTGTATAAACATGTATAGTTTTATGAATTCGACCGATTATTTTTGCGTAAAAGATCCAAAAAATTTAAAAATAAAGGAAGCACTCTGAGGTGCCTCATGAAGAAAAAAGAAGAGTGGAATTAGATGCATTTGGCTTTTATTCTGTCAAGTACAATACTCAATATCACTTACACTCAAATATTCCATATGTCTCTTTGTACTAAAAAGAGCAAAGAGAAACAAAGGTTAAAAAAAAAGTGAACTAAACAAACAAAATTGAACAAAGGAAAATGGCTATCTTGACATTATTAGTAGATATGCAAGTAAACCGATGCCTTATAATTTTCCAACATCTACAAGTAGTCTCGACCATATTCTATATATCATCTTATTTGTTTGGTATGACCATCCAATATTTAAAAAAGTTCCGACTATGTGATACTATAGACTTATAACGATCTAATTTAATTCAATAACTTTGGTCAATTAATTTTTTAAAATCCAAAGTTCATAATCTTGGAATCCTAAATCCTACTTTTAACACCACCTAGGGTTATAAGGGAGAAAGTGTGATACATACTAGGAGTTTTGCCTTTACTAAAATTCAAATGCGAAATCTTTGATTAAGGATGGATGATGAATGAATTCATTAATCATCTTTTTTGGTTTATTTAGTTTGTTTGTTTTTTCTTTTTTTTTTTCAAAGGGAATACAAAAAGATAAGACACATAAAAATTAAGTTGGAAGAAAATTAAAGTTGCTTAAAGAAATGATAATGCTTTATGGTACTATGATTTAGCATCTTGAAGAAGAAAAACAAAGTGTTCAAGTTAATATTCCGTGTAAGCTTAACAACTTTGAACGCATTTTCAAAGGTAAGCAATACCAAGAATCATTTTCTCGTTTTACTGTTAAAATTTTATATATTTTTACTTAGTCGATTGGAAAAAAAGATAAACATTATTAATTAAAAAAAATATTAATAATTGGATTAAGAAGAATAATACCAAGCTAGGAATTTGTTCCTTCGTGTCATCAAATAAATAGAACCAGATGTTATTCCAGCTCTATTATATCCCATATATTTGTGCTGTGTCATATCCTTTTCTAGACGAAGGAAAAAAAATCTATACTTGAGGTGAAATATTTGGTAGATAAACTTTCTAATGACAGATTTAGAATTTGAACGTATTCAATTCGTTTAACAATTATTTTCCATATAAGTATTAGGGATCAATTTTGAAACTTTGAGTTTTATCGAATGTATAATGGGATCCACGTTTATTTTTTTTTGTTTAAGCTTATTAAATTACTTGTGAATTATTTCACGTCTGACTTTATTGTATACTATGGAAAATTGAACATATGTGTAACGATTTTTAATTTTAGCAATGGTTATATTATTCCAACTATATGAATTTCTTCCCAATGTTCCTAAATTCAAGAATATAGCATAAGGTTCAAAGGTGCCAAATTCTTATATTTCTAGACTAGATATTCCTTAAATTTTCATTACATCTCATGATTCTCCTAGTTAAGAAATTAATTATCTAGTAATTGTTTGGGTAAAAATCTATAATCCTCATAAGATATATAGTTTTGAAAGTATTTTTTGTGTTTGAATTTTATATTCAATCATAAAGATAGGTAGTGAAATTATCAATCTTTATCTCACTACAAATTTAAATATATATATATATATATATATATATATATATCAGGTATATTTTAAATATTAAAGCGCTAACTTAAAATTTTGATACCAAGAATTATCTTGATTAATTCTTTTAGAAATTCAAGAAATAATTAAGGAAATTGTACTAAATTGTATTCTTCATTTGTCTCCAAGACACGTTAATCACATTCTCTTGATAACAAATTGACATTTATAAGATTTTTGGAACTTTCTAGTGGCCCCAATATCGAAAACCTTGCTTGCAACTAAGGTATTTTATTTTCCTTAATTTTGGGTGGTTTTTTAAAGGATAAGTTGATTACAATATACACAAATACACATATTTTGATTTTTAGCAATATCAGAATATTAGCTGACTAATCATTTAAAGCAAAAAAAAAAACATTTTTATCTTTTCTTTGGTTGGGGTATGGAACTAATATATGCCTTATGTCTCTCTTCTTCACTTCTTGTTGATGTTTAAAAAGATTCTTCTACTAGACTCATAATTTTGCAACTGTCATTATCCACCAATAAGCATAATTCTATCTTTCTATTTGCTTCAAGTACAAGCCACTCTTAGCTCCAATACATAAAGTAACATGCATTGTCCGTATAAAATATCAGGTCATTCAAAAGATATCTACAAATAAATTTTTTTAGAGTACTATTTTTATAATCTTAAAAGTAAATTAAATTATCAGATATAACAAATGAAAATGACGTGATAAGATAAAAAAAATTTATACGAACAATAATGATATATATAACTTAAACTTAAACGGATCAGAATTTTGGTAGTAGAGTCCAAGAATCATCTTTATATAATGACCACTTAGAATTCTTTTCTTTTGCTAGCTAGCCACCCAAAAGCTTTGTAACATGAAGTACAATGAGATAGCTCATTTTAGCCACCCTCAACACAAACTAAGATATGAATACTCAGAATTTCCATTCAAATGTGATGGTTGTAAAGAAGTAGGCATAGGGTCACGTTACAAATGTACAATTTGTGACTATGATTTACATATGCATTGTGCAATTCCTTCACCTTCAATTACACATCCATTTTACACTAAATGTTCTTTCCAATTCCTCTCTCGTCCCCCCGGTAACGTACCGCGCTATTGCAACGCTTGTGAGAAGGACATAAATGGATTTATGTACCATTGTAGGTCTTGTGGATTTGATCTTCATCCATGTTGTGCTAAACTCCCTATGGTGCTTGATGATGGAGATGTTAAGCTTTACTTGTATAGAAAGGTACGTAAATATTGTTAGTCATGAACATATTAACATAACTTCTTTTTAGTTATAGATTTGTTTATTAGCTTCACTTAACATTAGTTGAGAAAATTTAACTTTATGTCAAGTAATTGAAAAATAATTATCGTCCTGAAATTTCAATTAATATAAATATAACTCCGGAGCATTATCAATGTTCATTTAAATAAAAATTAAAATTTAAGACAATAACTATTTTTGGACATCGCCAATTAGAGATTAATCGACGTTGTTTCGTGCTATAAAAATGACAACAAGATACTTCAATAATTTGTTTTGTGTTTATATTTATTAGTAATCTCTGTTTCCTAATAAATAATCAATTTTGTATTTTAGCCGTGCTTTAGCTTTTCTGTTAAGAGTTACAATAGATTTTCTGACCAGATTTATTTTCTAAAGTGATCAGTCCAAAATTTAATAAGTTTAAAGTGATGCAAATTATTAATTTAATGACTTTTATAATTAAAAAACAGAACTCATTTTCTCTGCTTCTCAAAAAATAATGGGCTATTTTTATTTTTTTGGCAAAACTATGTTCAATTTCATATGCTTCTCGAGAATTCATATCGAAATTTTTTATTTTTGAGTAAAAAATACTTTCTACGAAGAGCGATTTTAATTTTCAAAGACTTAGCCTACCATTCTTTATCATCTACATGGCTTTTTTTTTTTTATAAATTTATTATTTTTTATTCAAATTATGAATACTCATTTTAAATTCACTAAATTTTAAATCTTGAATTCGAGTATTCCAGATAAGTGCAACATGCCACAGGTGTGGAAGGAAAGGGAGAAACAGAAGCTGGAGTTATAGATCTACATGCAAGAAATACAATTTACACGTGGCATGTGTTAAAGAGATGCTTGTAGATAGTTGGCATGAGCTCTACTTTGGTAATGAAGATCATAATTATAACAATAATAGTTATAATTATAGAAAATTGGAAAATAAGATGCCAAGTCTAAAAGGTACACTTCAAACTCATCATAAAAAAAGCAAAGGCAAAGCCCAAAAATGTTGTGAAGTGGCTGGTTTAGCTTTGCAGTTTATTATATCTGCAGTACTTGGAGACCCTACAACTCTTATTGCTGGGGTAGTTGGTTCATTAATGTCTAAATAATTATGTAAATTAACTAAACCAAACTATATTCAGGTTTTAATATATGGTCAAGATTGGACATCGACTTGATTATGGACATAATTAAGTTGGACTAATAATAGTTATCATGTGGAAAAAAAAATGGTGGTTTGTTAGAATTTGGGATGTTGTAGAAATTTAATGTATTAATCATTATACATGCATACGATTTAACGTTATTTCTATTTCTAGTAAATGTGTATCATCTTCGTACATGTTTAATTATCGTGATTTCTATTTTTAAAATTAAACTCTAAGAATTTTGATTAAGATGTATTTTTTAGCAATGATATGGAAAAGATAGTAATTTTATAGTACTTTTCGTATAGTTTTTCAATGTCTAAATTTCTTATTGAAAATATTAAATTAATGTAATTTAATTTAACTTTGAAAATTAATCAAATTGACTTTTGAAAAGCACAACGTGACAAATAAAATAGACAAGAAGAGTAGTTTTTTATGCATTTATTTTTAGTTCCTTTTTAACCGCAATGACTATCATAGGTGAAAATAGAATTTCAAAAACTTAATTACGAATAAAGCCTATGACATAAAGTTTTTTTTTGGAAACGTCATCGCCACTATAAATAAGTTTCAACAATTAATATAAAAAAAGTGTAATCTTTATATGGATATGGTTATTAAAATTTCTTAGACCGAATGTTTATATATACCACACAAATGAATATAAGGTATGTGTTTATACATATAAATATATCACCTAACCATAATTAATTTTATTAATACATATATTCACTACATTAAACGACTTAATTAAATTTGAAACCTAACAATCCTAACTTAACAATGTAATCTTGACCTAAAAGCAGCATCAATAAACAAGAAATATGGTTCAACTTTTCTCGAAATTGAAGCCCAATACTGTGTGTGTTTGATCCAATTTGAAATGATTGAAATTTGAAAATGACCAAACGTAGCTGAGGAAATTGCTTTTCTCCTATTTTATTCTCAATTATATATACTCCCATAAAAATAAATAATTTCTATCCTGAAAATGTTATTCTTTCTGTTCGATTAGATTTGTCACGTTACATTTTAAGAGAATTAATTGATTAATTTTTTAAGCTAATTTGAATTAGATTAATACAAAAGATCAATATTAGATGTTAGAAAAATCATACGAAAAAATACTATAAGTTGCAATTGTACGTTCTCATACTAATATAATTAAAAATATATATTTTAAAATGTTGATCAAAAGTATATATCATTTAACTTAAAAAATATAACAAGTAAAAGTTAAAAAAGTGAATATAAGAAAAACATAATACTCATTAATTAATATTATTAATGCAAATTATTTTAGAAGTAAAAACTAACCTTTTAATATTATATTTAAGATACACTGTCAAAAAAAAATATAAATTCCATTACTACTAAATTTAGCTCAATCACTAAATGACTGATTTGTAGTACTGGTAACTTTCCTTAAAACACAATTTTTAAAAAAGAAATAGCCGTTAATAATTTTAATTTCATTTCATTTAAATACACTTCTCTTAATCTTTTAATTAAATTATAATTCCATTAAAGATCTTTGCTTAAATTTTCTTTCTTCACAAACAATAGATTCACAAAATCTTTGTACAAAATAATAATAATAATAATAATGAGTTCCACACGTTGTGCAGCTTGCAAACAATTAAGAAGAAAATGCCCTTCAAATTGTATATTTTTACCATATTTTCCTCCAAATAATCCTCAAAGATTTCTATATGTTCATAGAATCTATGGTGCTAGTAATGTTGGAAAAATGCTCCAGGTATAAATATTATATTAATCTTATAAGAATCTAATTAATTTCTAATAGCTCCAAATATTTTTTTTAACTAGTAATATTAATTTTTTTTTTTGTATAAAATTGTAGCAAGTAGAAGAGCATCAACGTGGAGATGTAGCAGACTCATTGTATTATGAAGCATATTGCAGAATTAAAAATCCTGTTTATGGTTGTGTTGGAATTATTACTGTTTTACATGAAGAGATTTACCATGTACAATGCCAATTGGCTAAAGTACAAGCTCAAATTGACTTACTCTATCAAAATGGACTTTATACTCTCGATCCTTCATTTTACTAGCTAACTTGAACTTGTTACGTAGATTATTTTTTCTTTTTTCTTTTTAGCCATTTATGGGAATGTATTTACGAGTTTTCTCTTTTTGACTTAGTATTCTGAATTTATTTTAGACTCTGACTAGTAATTTGTATTCTTTCTATACATTCAACGGACTTGAGCTTTTGTTTTTCTTTCTTTGAAGAGTAAAAAATGGAGTCTTGAATTTCAATTGATTGTGATTGCATTTTGCTAACAACAACCACCTTTTTGAGACATTCAGACAAAACTAATGAATTGGTTCTTATTTTTGAAAACGTTATACTCTTTATCGTCAAAAAGTAAAAGGAAAAAGTGATGAAATTACTATAAAGTTTTATCAGTCAAAAAGTTAGTGTGTCTGTGAGACCATCATATGAATTTCCAAACTCCTTAACTTTTTGTTTACATCCTTAATTTTTAGTTTTGTTTCTTTATTCGACGAAAGTTCCTTGTTTGTGATTCTATAGTAAATAAATAATAGTCCCTTTGGATGATTTAAAATTTGATTATTTTTAGTTTTTAAAATTGTTTGGCAAAATTAGAAGTTATTTGAAATAAGTTTAAAATGTTTTTTAAGATAAAAGTTAAAAAATCAAGAGCAACTCTCTTATTATTTTTTATTTAATGACTTAAAAATTATTTAAATTGGACTTTTTTTAAACTTGAAAGCTAATTTTTAAAAAGTCAATCCAAATGAGGCTCTAACTCAAAGGATACATCAATTTTTGACGAAAATAAATTAAAGGATATATGAATTTTTTTAATGGCACTATGTAACGTGAATTTAAATTAGTTTGAACATGTAAGTCGATACGCTCACTATCAGGTGGTATTTCAATCAATTAACTAATCTAAATCTTAAATTAGCTAACACTGATAAATTAATAAAGCATATTCCAAATAATTGGGGCTTCTTTACGAAAAGGTTGTCATAATGACACACACTTCATTCCTATATGAACATACATAGTTTTTTCAATAAAGAGCCTCTCGACAAAGAAAATAAATGGAAATTGAAAGAGACTTAAAAATGGAATTAAAAAATAGAGTAAAAAAGGAGAAGCAAAACATCAATAATAGAATAAGTGATTGTGAACCAAACAAATACACACACCACACATCCCCTTCAAGATGTAAATAATTTACAGAAAAAGACATGAAGAATTGTACATATGTATTATGTGGAAAAGGAAGCAACGACGATAGTGGAAAGAGTAAAAATGTAGAATATCACGTAAAATGTTTGCATAGATATATACTAATATATATAATATATATGTCGATTTTTCCTATTCTATACAAATTTACGTGTTCATTTATTCTGTTATAACACACATTTAAAATATATATATATATAGCCATTTTAAAAACACATTTACCTAAATAAGAAGACAACAAAGAAACGAATAATTGTGCATATGCATTTTGTGGAAAAGGAAGCAACGACGATAGTGGGAAGTGTAATAAATAAAAGAGGTCCATATCATAATAAAATAATCGTACTGGTTGGATAAAAGAAAACAAAAGAAAAGCACATATAGCTACCCCACTAAACTCAAAATGATGTTACTCCTACATATAATGTTCTTCTAAAAAATAAAATAATATCATCACACAATAATACATAAATATAACTTTTATAAGTATTACTTAAATTTGTATAAAATTAAATAAAAAAACATATTCATCATCATGACAATTATGTATACCATGTGGCTTCCTACATATATTATGCTATATAGGACATATGTGTCTACTAATTCAATTTAATTTAAGTTTAAGTATCTATTTGTGCACATTCAAAATTGAATGACATAGTTATCCGTTGAAGCCAAATAAGGATCATGTTTATATATTATGCCATATATTTAACTACTCAAATGTCCGAATTGAATTACGTCAAATAAATATGGCCTCCAATTCCTATAATAGCTAATAATATGTTGACCTTCGACACAGTATTCCTTTATAAGAAAATATAGAATAAAAAAAGGTGTTTTAACTAAATTATTCTTCATAGAAAATATGAGGAAAAAAGGGACTTCTTAGGGGTTATATAATCCCTAAATGAGTACAAATTTGAAAAGATAAAGTTAAAAACGTTTGATTATGTTAAATGATATTTATTTGAATCAAGATTAAAGATAACTTATGGACTTGGTTAGTGCAATTTATCATTATTAAATAATTTAATAAAGTAAAAAAATATTTAATTATAGTTAAGTTTTTATTTTTATTTGTTCATTATATCAAAAATATATTTTAACTTTTAACTGTTTAGGCATGTCTTAATTTTTTTTTTCACGATTATCTTTATATTAATTGCTCATTCCAAATTATTTTCAAGTTCATTAAAAACTCTACGCTACTCCTTATCATGCACTTCATTTATTATTCTTTATGTGTATAAAGTTTATTGTGGACAAATAAAAATAACTAAAAAAAAATTATCTTTCAATGTAATTGGATATAAATATTAATATGAATACACATTTATAATTTGCGATGCTAAAGTTATTGATGTATTTCGCTTTCGATGATCAGTGGATCACTCACTATCTAAATTAATTTTTCGGAATTTCACTCGGTGAGTGTGAACCAAATTAAAATGTCTTTCAATTTATAAGACACGTACATAAAAGAATACTATATGTAACGAATAAATTGTTGACGTTGATATCCATTATTTATGGAAAAGCTTGTCTTTCATATTCTTAAGTTTTGCTATTTTTCTTCCTTTAATTTGTTGACCAAAATTAGTTTTTTTCAATAAATAACTTCTTAGAAGGTTGTCCAAACACACAAATAGGATTGTAATTTTAATTTGACTGTCCATAGAAGATAAGAAAATTTCTTGGTAAATGACGTTTTTACTTTTCCAAAATTAAAATGATATTTTCAGTTGGTCATCGATTCAACCTGATATTTACATTGAGGTTGATTAAATTTAAATTTAAATCAAAAAATTTTATATCAAAAATTAAAATACTTTTTTTACAGCAATTTTATGATAAAAACTCTATTACAATCTTTATTGGTGTCGGGTGCGACTCCCTACTGGATTTTCATGGAAACTCTACTTTTCAAAGTTAAG